ACGTACGGTAATAGTCACAGTTTTTCCAGATTGCTTGGATGTAGTTGTCAACTAAAACTCCACCTTTTCAAAACAGTAGACACACAGGCCTAAACAGCAGCACTCATGGTCAAAATGACACATTTTGCTTGCAAAAGGCACATATCGTGTCAAAACATTTAAAATATGAAACAAAAGCTAGTTTTACCTTAAAACAACACAACTTGCAAACAGATATATGAGCTCTTTGAATTAATCATTACACAATGGACAACAAAATACAAAATATAGAAGTCAGTGCACCACCATTGCTTGTCATTGTAGCCTATTGCCAATGCCATTTGTTGTCTTTCTATTTGGGCCGTCAAGTTTGCCTTTTTGCAAAGAATTGGATCCAGAATAAGAAATGCTTTGATTAAATTTATATTGAATTCATGACAATTTTCAAACTGTGGCTGAAAATTAAAATACTGTAAAAACAGACAAAAGTAATAAAAAACTGTAAATATTAAACACATTTAAACCAATGTACAGTCAAATCTTTTGGGAGTATAGGACATAGCCACTATTGACCTCCTCCATCCATGCTGGCACAGAACAACACAGACCTTCCACCATTTATATAAGGTTTGCAGACTGATTGCTAATTGAAGACTTGAGTGTAGGAGTTTCAAATCGCTGCTTCAGTGAATTCAAACTGATCTTGGTAGTGTCTAATGGTTAGGAATAGATGGTCTCTGTTTGGTTACCATAGCTAAAACAATGGAGTTTGGACTGCTTGAATGACATCTGTGTTAACTGTTTTGAAAAATGCTAAGGAAAATGTGTCAACCCAATGAGAAAAGGTTTACAAATTTGCAAGACCTGTCTTCTGCTCTGCTGGGATAGTGAAAATGAAAATGAAGTGGAACCTAGTTTCTTTAACCAGGTCAAAGCAAACAAGAAAAACTGTAAAAAAAAAAATGGCAATATTTTGACATGTATGACATTTTATATATGTAAAATTCTTATGAACTATTATGTCACATATGTAATTTGCATATATTTCTATATATCAGATTTCTATTTTAGGATCTGGGTTTCCATCTTTCTGGTCTTGTGGGTTTGGTTCTCCTCTACATCACAGTGGTGTTTTCATAAGTCAAAAATCTTGGAAACAACCTTCTGTCAATGTGAATCCAGGCCTGATATTGCTGTGATTGGGCTTTCTCACATACATACAGTAATGTCAAATATAAAAACATTGTCTGTAAAAGTGGTACAAGGAACAAATAAACCATAAATATAAAAAATTAAGGATGAATAAAGATGTCATCTATAGATAATGTAGTTCAGTTGGGTCATCTTCTGTGGTAACTGATGTCATTTGATCTATCCTGATTATTTCATCATCTAAACATGTAATATTGTACAAAAGTTTCCATACATCCAGAGTAATGCAACAGTTAATTATTATTTTGAGTGCTTGTATCAGTTGATAATAACATCATGTGAAGTAAATGAATACATGGTTATTTCAATTGTAATGTTTGAGTTGCATTTTGAAATGGGATCAATTTGAAGTTTAATTGTGTTATATTGAAAAGGTGATCTGAGTTCAATGAACAAAGTATTTTTGACTTGTGTGTGTTTTATCCAAGCATTTGAAAAAAGAGTTAAGGGTTTTGCAAAAAAATGTGCAATTTTAGCAATAGTTGTGAATTTTGTATCTAGAGTTTTGAAAATTGACACCAGGGCCCGGTTTTTCAAAAGTAATCCACTAGGATTTTGGATAAGGGATTGGATCAAATCTTGAAAATGGGTTTATCAAAAGAAAAAAACGGATTACCTAATCGGATTAGATCACGTAATCTAATCTTGGTTTTGATCCGGATCAAACCTTTAGTTTGGGTTTTTCAGACCTTTTTTGTAGGATCTGGATCACTTTGATCCAAAAAACCTGGATTAAACTGATCCCATCAGAAGGGTGGGTTTAACGTGGATTTCATGCCTAAAATGTAATGAAAACTTAAAAAATGTATAAAATAATACTATTTTTGGATCATGCAGTATCTTACGATATATACTATTTATTCATAAGGTTTTAATTTTATTTGTTCATCCGTCAGGCTATAGTGATTATTGGCTTTAATGTATTTAGCCTTTCAGTATAGGCCTACAGCAACATAGAAAGAGTTTGGCCTCATAAAATAATCCCCCAAACAGCTGTGAAAATTGACCAAAAACAATCAATTTTATTTTGTCTCTAATTGATATATATATTCATCACAATGAAAAATATTTTTCTTTTTAGAATATTTATTAGTGATGCATGCAATGATTACAGAATAAACAAAAAATGCAAAGAATGGCAATGACTGATTTTTGAAATCTCTTTCAACAATTGCAAAAAGAGACTGAAAGGGCAGAAGCACAGCTTCGTCTGGCGGGGGAACAACTGACTCTGACCAAACTGCAGCAAACCAAGGCCAAGGACATGAGATCCGCCTCCTAAAGGCTACGCTCAGACAAGCTGCTCTCTACACATCAGATGAGGAAGTCTGAGATTATTGTGGAGTTTTTGACATTAAGTCTTTTTTTTATTTACATCTATATTTGAAACTTATTATAAATATCCTCAATGTACAGTGTTTTAGGTCTCAGATGAGTGGAATGCTGGAAGAGGATGCGGTGTTGTTTTTCTTGTTTTTATTATTTATTATTATTATTAATTTAATATTTATTAAGTTTTCATTTTAAAAAAATAAAGTTATGTTGACCCCACGCTGGCTATTCTACTTGTCGCTCTTTACATATCTATAGTTCTACATTGTGATTTCTTATCCTGTTTGAGCACTGGTAATCCAGATTTAGTGATCCTGAAAAGTTCCTATCCGGATCAGTTTGATCCAATTCGATGTTGCTCTGAAAAACTGGCTCAAAATGTAAACTGGATTACCTGATCACGGATCGCAAAAACAAAACTACTAAATCTGGATAAATTTGATCCGGATTAAACCTTTTGAAAAACCGGGCCCAGGGCCAGGTTTTTTAAAAGTAATCCACTAGGATTTTGGATAAGGGATTGGATCAAATCTTGAAAATGGGTTTTTTAAAAGAAAAAACGAATTACATAATCGGATTAGATCACGTAATCTAATCTTGGTTTTGATCCAGATCAAACCTTTAGTTTGGGTTTTCCAGATCTTTTTTGTAGGATCTGGATCATTTTGATCCAAAAAATCTGGATAGTGATTTCCTATCCTGTTTGAGCACTGGTAATCCAGATTTAGTGATCCTGAAAAGTTCCTATCCGGATCAGATTGATCCAATTCGATGTTGCTTTGAAAAACTGGCTCAAAAAGTAAGCTGGATTACCTGATCACGGATCGCAAAAACAGAATTACTAAATCCGGATAAATTTGATCCGGATTAAACCTTTTGAAAAACCGGGCCCAGCAGCTGACCGTTACAGATACAGCATGCAGCACCGAGGACCGTCTATCTCCACAGCTTCAGACAGGGTTTTATGACAACCTTTGTAAATGTTTGCAATTAGGAATTCTTCTGCAGAAGACATGTCAGTGTTTATTTTTACGTAAAATGTTATTTTATGAAACATTTAATGTTGAGTGTTTATATGCATATTTTTATATATAATAAATGAATACACATTTAAACACATATGTTTGTGTGTTTTTGTTTCTCTGCTGAAGCACTGCAGTAAAAATTATCTTAGGGTCTCCTTTTGACCAGCAGCAACTCTGGTTAGTGGGTTCCCACTTAGGAAGAGGTCAAATTTCATTTTTACTGTTGATCATCAATTGGCACCATTAAATCCTTTACATTTCCCCGTACAAAAGCGTGTCTGACTTTTATATGGAGTTCTGTGGAGTAAAACTGCAATTTATAGAGTACATGCATAAGTACACTTACTATGTTTACTATGTTCTGACAGCTGAGGTGCCTATTTTGTATTTTCTCCTACACATCAATATATGTGTGTAAAAGTCTCTCTTACAACCTCACACACTCACTAAACACCAAATAAAAGCAAGAAATCAAGCTTTTTTGAACTGTAACTGATGATCACCAGTAAAAATCACAAATCTTACCTCTTCCCAACAGGAAAAACCACCAACAATCAAGAATGCATGATTATACGCTGTCATGACGTTGCATTTAAAAATAATGGAAATCATTTGGGCAAAAACAGCCATGAACACAATGAAAGGGTGGTAAATTTGCCCAGAGTGTATTGTTGAGTTTTTAAAAAATTCTAAAAGTATTTTCCCAAAATATGTGTCAACAAGATTTGTCACCAAAAATCATCCCATTTGCTGAACCACAGAGAAAGTTGTTGGTAAATTAAGCCTCAAAATCAGCCCAGAGTGGACCAAAACTTCACCAACAGCACAGAAGGGTTAAACACCCCCAAATCCTTGATGGGATGGTTCTAAGAGGCAGTGCTCACTTCTGGACAGAGGGGCAAGTGTAGCAAGTAGCAAGTGGAGATGTTTTGAACCTTCAGCTGACAGCCAGTGTAAGTGGAGAGGTAAGAGAGGTGTGACGTGGGCTCTCTTGGGATCATTGAAGACCAGATGAGCTGCAACATTTTGTTTGGCCAGGATTGATTAGATGAGCATGTCATCGGTGTAAATCAGAGATGCCCAAACTAGGGCCGTGGGCCAAAGTGGATCCACGGTAACCTTTGATTTGGCCCTCCATCCCATCTGAGAAGAGAGGGATAATGATGGGGAGTTTTGGGGGAAAGTCTTTAACAGAGATTGTCATTTTTAATACAACATAACTTTATTTTTTAACTGTTGAGATACAAAAATAAACAAACTGAAATTAAACGTTTCAATGAAATGTTGTGAATGAATCAAATAAAATAATAGTCACTTGAAGGAGAGCAGACATTACAGAAGACATCAGCAAGCGAAGGCAAAGTGTATTTTTAGTGTTATAAATGGGATTGTTCATGTTTTATTGTAAGACTTTCATTCATTATAAAATGTATAATTATTAATACAATTAAAGAATTTGAAATGTTGTAAATTACAGTATTCAGTGAATCATGTAAATTATATAATGAATAATAATAATAAATTAGGAAATTACATTGACAATTTTACAGTTTGGTAGATTTACCTCCAGCCCACCACCCTCAGACGAGTTTAGTTTTTGGCCTTTCATAAGAAAAAGTTTCCCTGAAGCACCTCTGAAATAGACTTTAACTAAAAGTTTTAGATTCTGAGCAGGACAGCACACTGGTTCTCCCGCAGCATGTTTGTTCATCATTTCTATCTTAATGTGTTGATCATTTTCTGTTGTGTTTCTGTATTGTGTGAAGGTCAACCAGTCCACAGTTTATGCTGCTATAATCTTTATTCAGTTTTATTCATAAACTATGTACAATATATACACTGTGCTCACGTCGACTCCAGGTCTCTTGGGTGAAGGTCTCTCAGTGACGTGGTCTTTTCTGGTCGCCGTGCGTCTCTGGTGAAGATGGGGAACGGGAACGTTTCCCTCTGGCGTCCTGGACTGAAGATGCTGCACCAGCTGAGGAAGAGGAGGATAGTGGCTTGGTCTGGCAGGAGAAGGACGGCCTCTTTTTCTTCTCAGCAGCATAGGCCTCACTGAACAGATCGAGCGCAAACACACACAAGCAGACATAATGTGAGATTTTCACAAACCAATACAACATGCTGCAATGCCAAGTACAGTTTACTCACGCGTCTATGATGGGAATGACGTATTTGCCGCTGCCGTCCATCATGACTCCCTTTCGGTTTGGGTCGTCCACCTCCAACAGGAAGCTGCGGGGAATCCCTGTGCTCCTCCTGATGCGCTTTTGCGAAGCAGAGCTGCTGCCCTGTGAATTCATGAGTGACAGTCAAACGACAGAGCAAACAATCTGACTGATGGAGACAAGAGCTCAAGTTCACAGCAACCATAAGCTTAGAAAACCCAGTTACCCCTTTAGAGGGGCAGTGCCTAATGTGGTGTCCTGGGATCCCACAGTGAAAGCAGACATAGTTGGGTGGAAGAAGCCCAAGCAGTGTCATGGCCTCACTGATGAACATCAGAACCATGAGAATCAGCTCTAACATTTCTCACAAACCAAACCTGTCAGTGTCTGAACGCTCACCTGCTGGAGTAGTAGCACAGACTGGACTGGTACATCACCGCTTTCAGCTTGTCCTCCTCTGATGCCTTTGCCTCAGCCAGATTCTCAGTCTGTTTCACAGGCATGTGCACATCAGAATTTTATTTTACTGGTCTGCCTAAGAAGCTGTGTGTGTGTGTGTGTGTGTTTGGGGGGGTGGGGGTGTTTTACACTGTGTATTGATATTCTGCACTGCATGTCATTATGACGCTTCAAATGCAAACACTGCAGTTCAATACAGAGCAGCACAGTGGGGTGAATTAATCATTTGTTCAATACCTTCAACAGCTGCTCCAGTGAGAGGAGTGAAGAATCACCTGTTTGAGAAGATTTAGCTGATGGTCCAGCTTGATGTCTGCAAAACAAAGGAGCTTGTGTGACTAAAACACCACAGACAGACTCAAACTCTTAATATAACATCTATCAGAGGACGATTGCGCTCATTTCACATGACTTACCCAACAAATCTTCTGTTGGAGGACTTCAGTCCAGCCGCAGGGACCCGTCTGATGATGACAGATGTGTTTTTGGGGATGAGAGCATCATCATCTGTGTATTCTGACAGCAAAATAAAGTTTGAATATAGTAATAATCATTTACCATGGTATACTTTGAGTGCCATTAGGATTTTAAAACACTCAAAACATCACTATATGTCACCATCAGAGTCATGATAACACATGTCAGCTTCTACAAGTCTGTCTGATAACACATCTAATGTTAGTGTAGTATAGTTTAAGTGGCTTTTCCTCATCTCACCTTCATCAGTTTGGGCGTTGCTGATCTTCAGCTGGCAGAACTTCAGCCTCTCGCGCCTCATGATCTGCCGCTTCAGCTCTCCCACAGTGATGTTGAGGCCCTCAAACTGGAGCGAGTCGTAGGTGAGTCGACTCTGAAACCTGTAATGAACACAAGACATACTAAACACAAAACACAGTGTGATAACAAGGGTCAAACCTGAATGAAGGGAGCAGCAGGCGATCAATCGATGTATCCAACAATCAATAATATCAATAATCTGGGAATCAGTTGCAACGAAGGACGCCGAGATCAGATGCCAATGACAGAGCAAGTTCAAAACAACACAAAAAGAACCGTTGCCATGGATGCTGACGATCACGTGACAAGGCGCTAAAAAACTTCCGCGTTATTTTCTCATTAATAATAGTGAAATCATTACTATGATAATAATACAATAAACAGCAGAACAGTTGTACATCTCTGAATAATACACAGTGGCGTTTCCTTACACGAATGATTCAGGACTCTGTATAAAGTCGGGCGAGTCACTGAATCAGTGATTCGTGGCTGAATGAATCACTTAAAGCTTCACTCGATTAAAGCGGTCTCTTGCTGCCACCTATTGGCGATTTGTTTTTCCGTTTTAAAGTTTTTTTTTTTTTTTTTTTTTTTTTTGATGGTGCAATAGTTTTTTAATTTTTTTTTATTAGATCTTATAAGAACATACAGAAAAAAGAACAAATGACCGAACAAAGAAACATCTTATTCATCTAGAAAGTCCAAATAGCAGCATTCACACAAAAAACAGATAAAAAAACAAATAAATATATATTTAAAAAATAATAAAATTGAAATAAATAAAAAGCAAAATACAATGCACTATAATACAAAGGGATTAATCATCAAAAAATGCCTTTAACAGACTACACAGTTTAAGGGCTTTTTTATGTCTCATCAGCTTTAAGGAATTGAAGAAGACCATTAAATCCTTGTGGAAACGCAGAAAAGTGGGGGGGTTATTAAAAAATCTGCATTTATGAATGAAATAGTTTGCCAAAGTCACAATATTGTTAACCAAAAATTCCAGCTCAGAATTCTGACAAAAAGATCAATATTTTACAGTTTTAAAATCAAAATCAGGTATTACATATTTTAATCTTAACCAAACAGTAATGTCATCCCATAACTTTTTTGAAAATTTGCATAAATAAAACAAATGTTCCAATGACTCTATGTCTGCTTCACAAAAGGTACAAACGTTACAATCCAAATTAAATCTGTGTCTGAGGAACTCATTACAAGGATAAATATCGTTAATAATTTTAAACTGAACTTCTTTTGCTTTTGGTAGAAGTGGAAAAGAGAGAAATCTTGTTCGAATTCGAACCACCTTGTCTTCTGGAAAATCTAAAACAAGGGGTCTTTTCTTAACTTTAGAAGGGAAAAGCTGTGTATTTACTAACCTTCTTAAGGTCTTATTATTACAGCTCTGCCCAGTAAAATTAATACCAGAAATAATAAGGTTGCCCAATCTTGGTATCACAGAAGAATAACCCAATTCCCCTTTGATTAGCTGAACCAAACCACCAGGAATAGCTTTCAACAAAGACAAATACAATTTCTAAGTACAAATAATATGGTATTTTTCACAAAAAATCATCATAATTAAGGAAATTTCCAACCCCATCCAAAATTTGTAAAATAGACCAAACACCTTTGTCCATCCACTCTTGAAAAAACACAGATTTCCTCTTAATAAGTATATACTTATTATTCCACAAAGAACAGCTATGTGGCGAAAAATTATGTTTGTATATTAACTTCCAATACTGTAATACCTGACTATGAAAAGATGACAATTTACACTTTAACTTTGATGGCTCAAAATCGCATCTTAAAAGAAAGTCTATGCCCCCAAAGAAATCAAAAATTTTAGAAGAAAACCTAAACCAGAAAGAATGTTTATGTCGAAGGAAGGTTTGAAGCCACTTCAGCTTAAGGGTACCATTCATAACATCAAAATCAATTACATTCAATCCACCTTCAATGATTGGTTTCACTACATCTGATTTTCTTAGAAAATGATGCTTATTTTTCCATAGAAATTTATATTGCATTTGATTCAGATTTTTAACGTACCTATCAGAAATACTTAAAGAAAAAGCTGGGTAAATCATCCTGGAAAGTGCTTCTGACTTTTGTAAAACAATTCTACCAAAAATAGATAGATCCCTTTGAACCCACAAATTTAATATTTTTTTACTTTTTATCAAATTATCCATCAAATTAGCTTTTTCCCTATCTTTAGGGTCTTTGGAAATAACAACACCCAAGTATTTTACCTCATTTTTAACTGGAATATTGAACAGTTGTGTTTCGGTATGGTTATGGATTGTCATAAGCTCACATTTTTTTAAATTCAATTGCAGACCAGAAGCATTTGAAAAATGAGACACCAGATTAATGGCAACTGAAATCTGCTCTGCATTACTGAGAAACAGGGTGGTATCGTCTGTTAGTTGACTTATTATTAATTGACTCCCTAAAACATTCAAAGTTCTGATAGCTCTGCAATTTTTAACATACAATGCTAATAATTCAGCTACTAAAATAAATAAATATGGGCTTGTTGGATCCCCTTGTCTGATGCCTCTATTAATGTTAAACCTCTTCGAAGTCCCAAATGGTAATGATACTGAACTATTTATGTCTTTATATAACATTTCTATTACTATAACAAATTTATGACCAAAACCAAAAAAATTCAAAATAAAATTATGTTCTACAGTATCAAATGCCTTGTAGAAGTCAAGAAATAAAACAAACCCATCCTCTTTAATTAAATGTCCATAATCAATTAGATCTAAGACAAGTCTAATGTTGTTGTGAATTAGCCTTCCTTTAATAAAACCAGACTGAGTTTCACTTATAACTTGATTCAATCTAAATTTCAATCTATTAGCTATAGCAGATGTAAGAATTTTATAATCCACATTGAGTAGAGTAATCGGCCTCAATTTCTCAATAATTCTTTTATCTTTGTTTGCCTTTGGAATAAGAATAATTAAGCCCTGTTTCATAGTTGTAAGTAAAGTATTAGAATTAAAACACTATTTTAATGCTGCAAATAACAAATGTTTTATATCCTCCCAAAAAAATTTGTAGAAGTTAGTAGTCAAACCATCCTGACCAGGAGACTTACCCAAACACATTTTTTTAATAGCTGCTTTAAGTTCCTCTAGCTTCAAATCCTCATCACACATTTCTTTAAATTCAATATCTATCTCTGGGATATAATCTTTAACCTTTTCTAGAAATTGAATAGCATTATTTTCAGAATATGATGAAGAATAAATATTACTATAAAATGAATATATTTCCTCAGATATCAGTTTAGAATCTGTAATTATTGTATCCTTAATAACTAAAGTATGAATTGCATTACTTTGCTGTCTCCTCTTTTCTAATTGACAAAAGTAAGCTGTGTTCTTCTCTCCTTCTTCCATCCATTTTGCCCGAGACCTTACAAAAGCTCCTTGTGCTTTCATTACATACATGCTGTCTAATTTAGCTTGAAGAGTGATTCACTTTTCCACATCTTTAACCTTATCGTGTGTTACAGCAATCATTAATTTCCTGAATTATTCTTAATTCTTTTTGCAATATATCGCTTCTCTTTTGTTTACCATACCGAATAGAAATTTCCCTTGTTTTAAATTTAAAGTACTCCCATTTAATCCCACTGGAATTTAAAGAGAAATCATTCTCAACCTCACTAATTAGGTTTTTTAATTTGACTACAATAAACTTTATCCTTTAAAAGTTCTGCACTGAACTTCCAATAGTCTTTCTTAGTAGTATTTTTTCTTACTGGTGTCAAAGTTAATGAAATCAAACAGTGATCTGTCAATGGTGCAGCAGAAATTAAAACCTGGTTCGCAAGCTCCAGATATTCCTCAGTTATGAGCCAAAAATCTATTCGTGACCTATGACCCGATAGGTTTAATCCAAGAGAACTGATTGGTATTAGGATTCTTGACTCTCCATACATCTGAAATGATAAATGATGAAGTAAAGTTGACTTTTTATTGGTCTTATGGCACCGTTTGGATAAAAATAAACAGCAGTACGGTCCCAAATAAAATATAGTTATTTAAACTAAATACTATAGTATTTTAGAACCACATAGTAAAGTTTATTGTACTGAATAGTTAATCACAATGTTGTGCTATTTAAAGGCAACTGTGGTGCAGAGTCGGGTTGGAAGAAACTCCAAGCATTTCTGTTTTCGCAAGGTTAAGCTGAAGATGATGATCTTTCATCCAGTGTGAAATGTCCGACAGGCAGGCTGAGATGCGAGCTGGAACCGAGGGATCATCAGGGTGAAAAGAGAGGTATAGTTGGGTATCATCAGCATAGCAGTGGTAGGAGAATCCATGTTTCTGAATGACTGGTCCTAGAGATGTCGTGTAGATGGAGAAGAGAAGTGGCCCAAGAACAGAGCCTTGAGGTACCCCAGTGTTTAGATGCTGTAGGTTGGACACCTTTCCCCTCCAAGACACCCTGAATGATCTGTCAGAGAGGTAAGATCTGAACCATTGAATAACAGTGCCTGCAACGCCCAGTGACTCATATATATTATATATATAATGATTAATACATATAGAAACAATATTTTCATAACTAAATTATTTATGATTTGCCATTTAACAGCGAAACATCTCGTCAAATAGGCCACAGTTCATCAGGAAATGAAAAGCTTTTAAATGACAACAGAAAAGCAGTTCAGCGACTAACATTCACTCATTCAGTGAGTATCTCATTTATTCATTCATTCATTCACTAATTGAATCAACACTTTTTCAATCACTAAATATGGTGTCAGATGCAGATGTGGCCTCTAGTGTAATCCACAGTTCATATATTGCACAATGACGCTAAAGGCCACCATATTATAAAATACTACAGGTTGTTGGTTGCAGATTAATAATCACAAACATAATTTTTTAATCATAAAACAGCTAAAACATATTTAGTGTCAGAGAGGACAAAGTGGTTTTAGTTTACCTTTTATCTTTAATATTAAACAGCTTTTTAGTCTTTAGACCAGATTAAATAACTTGTGGTACTTGTATAAACAATGTTCAGCTCAGGATCAGTAATTCAGCATGATGTGCTGCTAAAGCTGAAACAGTCTATCAATTTATGCCACAGATTGTGTGAAATTCTGTCGAGTCTTATAGATGTTAAAAACACTGATGGAGGTCAAAACCGCATCTGACACCACAGTTAGTGGATGAGTAAGAGTAAACTGAATAATAAATATGTAACTCAGTTAATGATATTATTCACTGCATGAATGAATGTTAGATGAGGAACTGGTATTTAAGTGGAAAATTAAAACATTAAAGCTTTACTTTTTCAGAGGTTCACTGTTTACACAATCTTAAATGGATAGTTCACCGCATAAATATGATTGTGACGATTATGAATTAACA